TGAAAATACGTGCCCTACCACCTTGTTCAACAAAGCAGAGATCCTCGGTACCCTTAATAAAAAATAAATGTTGAAGAATTGGGACCATATTATTATACCATTGTAGTAATTGGATATTTGGATTTCGAGCATATAAATATGTTTGTCCATCATTAAAAAAAGTACATTCAACTATTTAAAATGATTTTAATAAGTCTTTATATTTTTCTTAAAATAATAATAACAATAAAATTTCAAGGAACATTTACATGCCAAAACTTTTTTTGTATCATATATAGCGATTAGATCTTTCGGCTCATTAATTGCAATAAGCACATTTTCATCTGTATTCAAAGTTTTAAATGATTTAATTGAATATTTGAAATTAAGTTCTAACCGTCGAGCAGTGTCAAAGAAAATCTCAATTTTTTGGATTTTTTTATTGTAAAGCACAATAAGAAATTTTCGATTATCAAATTGGGCTATTTTTCTGAGATTTATAAATATTGTCAGATAAGACAAAATATAATCAAATATTAGAAAGAATAAATGGTAAAGAATATTAAATCATTACCTGAAATCGTAAATTGAAGAATCAATCTGCAAAGTTGTACCAATACAATAATTATTATAAGAAAGCAAAATTGGATTTGGAATATATAACTCTTCATTATGTAGATGAAAGGTATCTGCTTGCTCTAATGATGTCTCGAAAATTGTTAATTTTAGCTGTTTTGGTTCAATTATTTCAAGCTCATGTTTGAAACAGAAATAATTATCGTCCCTAGCCGGATAATAAGAGCATGAATTGCATACTAAACATTAAATAATGTGTTAAAACAACCTTAATTATATCAGATATGGTCGTAGCGAAGGGACTCCTACCGAGAAGGGACTTTGCTTGGATGCTCAGGTAAATCACACTTCAAGACATCGTTTACCTTGCTAGAGATTGTAATATCTGATTATATCTATGTGATACTTATAAATAGGCCGCTTTAGAATATATAAAACGAGATGAAATTTTAAGATGTACCAAATTAATAGTATATGGACAATCACTTGGAGGGGCTGTAGCAATTGATTTGGTAGCGAGAAATGAAGGAAGTATTAACATATTAATCTTGGAGAATACATTCCTCAACATGGTAAGTTATTACAATCTTGCTCTCTTTAAACTAAAAAAAAAAAAATAATAATAACAAGAATTTTTTTTTTCCTGACATAACAAAAGCAAAAAATTCTTCCAGAAATATTTCCAAAAATTAAATTTCTCTGTTCAGATGTTTGGCCATCAGAGCAAAATATAAAAAAAATTAAAACAATCCCAATATTATTTTTATCAGGCAAAAAAGATGAAATCATACCACCATTTCATATGCGAAAGTTATTTGAATTATCTCAAACTAGTGGTGGTAAAGAATTGATTGAATTTAATGAGGGTAGTCATTTAGATACGGTTCAACAACCGAATTACTTTCAGCATGTTAGCACGTTTCTTCAGAAACATATCGTTGCTTGGAAAGTACGTTAAATTATTCCATGATAAACAAATAAATTTAATAAATTAATTTACATAAATCTGCATCAGACACGAGGTATTGTGTCGATCGTGGTAAATCAATTGGTTAACCTAACCATTTTAATCCATAACTTAAAAAAAATTGGATCATTTCTTATTTTCAAATGTC